TTATTGAAAAAGTAGCATGGAGCGAAATGCGACTGAAGGCCGAAACATCCCTGTGATGGGTGTCCAGCAAGAAACATCCGGTCTTTAATAGGGGATATGATCTCCCCTGACTGCTAGGCAGGTTTCACAGCGTCTGCCCATGCTGAGAATGAGGGTGTCAATGAGTTGTTGAGGCATTGCTGCCCATTCGTCTTGCAGCGCCAATCGAAAGCTCCGGAATCGTTACTGGTGGTAAGGTACGAGCTGCCAAGCGTCTGCCTAGAAAATCCCATACATGCTCGATGGGATTGAGATCCGGAGATCGTGCCGGCCAATCCATACGTTCAATATCCTCACTCTCTAAGAGCTGTTCGGCAGCTACTGTGCGATGACATGGTGCATTGTCGTCCATGAAAAGGAACTGCGGACCCATAGCGCCTCTAAAAAGACGCACATATGGAAGAAGAATCTCGTTACAATAACGGGTCCCGTTGACTGAACCTGCGTCGAAGATGTGAAGGTCTGTACGACTACCAAGCATGATGCCTCCCCAAACGAGAACACCGCCACCTCCATACCTGTCCCTTTCAATGATGTTCGAGGGATGATTGCGGCTTCGCCCGCTCTCTCCAGATGAGTATGCGATGAGAATCGCTACTCAGACTGAATCTGCTCTCATCTGTAAAGAGTACTCGTCCCCATTCATTGTCTCTCCAATTCCAGTGTTCCCGGCACCACAGAGAACGCCTTCTCTGATGGGCAGGCGTTAGAGGTACACACCGTACAGGGCGTCGTGCAAACAGACCACCACCGTGCAGTCTTCTGGCCACGGTAAAACGCGATATCGGTCGTCAGTCGCCTGTGTCGTGTGTCTAGCGATTTCTCCCGCTGTCTGCCGCCTGTTTCTTCTGGCCTGTAAGGCAATATGCCGGTCATCTGTGGGTGTGGTTCCTCGGGGACGACCACTACTAAACCCCCGGATAGCTGTTCCTGTAGTTTGAAATTGTCTCCAAAGTCGTGAAACGATGCTGTGAGCAATTCCGAACTCTGCAGCCACACTTGTCACACTGCGGCCTTCCTCCAACTTCCCAATGATTCGAACTCGGGTAAAAGCATCCAGATGTAGTCTAACAGATTGATTATTCGCCATTTCTCGCTGAGGCAGCAACTCGGTGTGATTTTAACTGCTATACGGCGTGCGATCTCTTTGCCAGAAATACTGATCTTACACCGACAACATGCTTTATACTACTCAGACACTCCCCCATTACGTCTACCTGCATATCTGCGCATGTGCTACTGTACATCACCTTACTTAATCTCCTGATTGGTCTTTCTGTCCGCTCTGTCTCTTCGTTCAGCTGATATGCTAATTTTTCGAATTCGTCCTTAATTTTTGCACACCAGTGTATATAACTAGTAATTGACTTAGCAATCAGAGCATTCCTGTACAATTATTTCATTTTCTATTTGGTACCCACCGGAAAAAATAGCTTGAAAATAACCACCCTTAGGCTATCTCTGGAATAACTTTGCATGCCTACAACAAATGAAAAACATTGGATGAATAATTGCCAAAAGTGCAGTTTGTTTTTCTTTATAGTCAACGAAATAGTTAAACGTGAAAAATGCAACCATATAATCGTTTTACACCAAGCATCAGTAAGCGTTCAAATATGAGTGATAAAATTCTAAATGTAAAGCTTTGCTTCTAAACTGATATCTTCGATATGTGAGAAATAGTTTCAGATACAGTTTGTGGACAACACGTTTAATAAACTGAAATGAATTTGTAAGGTATTTTCTCCCTCCTTTCTGCATGTATTCGTTGTATAACGGCAGCACCCTCGACGCGTATTCGAGAGGTTCGAGTTCCGGCGAGGGCATTGCTCATTTTTTTTCCCTTTAAAATAACTTAATACACTTACAGTGATGCCCGAGCTAAAAAATGGTGGATGATGATTCTTCACCACGAGGATTTGGCAATTGGATCCCCTAATCCCCAATTGCCTTTTAAAAGGGAGAGTATGTAAGGTATTTTCTTTCGCCTTTCTGCAAACCTTCGTGGTGTAACAGTAGCACACTCGGCGCGTATTCGAGAGATCCAGGTTCGAGTCTCGGGAAGGACATTGCTCATTTTTCACGTCTTCCTGCTTCAAAAAATTCTAATGACTCTACAAATTTAATAATTTTATATTTTAATTTAAATTAAAAATGGCTTTATATCAAGACAGGTTTTGCGTCATACACAAGTAAAGAAATTACAGTTTCTTTGTAAGAGTGGACGGACTTTATAAGAGTTTCTGAAACGTGGACTTCTTTCCGAACGTCTGTTTGCTGTTATTTGAATAGCCATGCATTATATCTAAGTCTGATAATATGCATTTTTTTTATTTCGAGAGTATTAATTCTGATCGTATTAATCATTTATACTTCATTAAAAGTTAACTGAAGAGCATTATAATTAAGACACAATAACACGCTGAATAAATACTAATTCAGAAGTCAAACAACAAAAATTAGCATTATATTTACAAAATTTTTCACAGGACTAGTTTCGATGGTTTCACCGAACTACCATTCTCAGCTGCAAAACCGCAAATGCCACAAATGAATACATTGAATACATACATTTAACAAAAATACATTGAACACAAATGAATACATACACAAATGAGAGCATTATATTTGTGATGTTCAACTTTCTTCGTCTAATTATATTTAATGATGAAATCTGAATAATCATACAGAAATTCTTATTGATTAATACAACACATCAAATGTATGGCATGTTTTGAAATAATTGTCTTAGCGCTACATAGATATTGATTCAAAATTTCTGTAATGCGTAAAATTTAGGTTACACCATCATGGATGTAAATTTTTGTAACAACACGTTATCTGATTTAATACATTACTCTTGCATAAGAGCTTTACGGTAATTGCAAAGATAAGTAAATTCTAAACGATAAAACGAGGGAATGTTGTAGAATAAGATCAGATATCGTTAGAACTTCATTAATTTTATTTAAAAAAAAGTAGATGGGTACTTTTGTAAAAAAAAAAAAAAAAAAAAAAAACTTTGCAATCTGAAATGTTTAGTAAATACGTATATGCAATAGCCATAGAGGAAATGTGTAATTACACTTATCAGAGTCATGAAACTCCATTTCATTTCTGCATTTAAAGTTTGCGCACATTTCATTCAATCGTACTACGTTAAAAAAATTCTCCGAATACCATTTATGTCATAAATCAGTCTTTTCAGACCCTGATAACAGATGTTATGTTTATTATATTAGGACATTTTTTCAGAGCATGTTCTTTATAAGAAGTTTTTTCATTAGAGATATAATATTAAGAAATTTGGCATAAGGCATTGCTACATTAAGAAAGCAGTGTCAGAGCACTTTGCTATAAATAAAGGAATTAAAAATCAAACGATCAGTATTAATCGTAAGAAAACTTAAACTCAGTTTTTAAGTGTACGTTAAAGACGAAACAGTTAAATTTATAATAATAACAGTAAATCTGTTTCAAAATGCACATCATAGCAGTAATAATTAGGTAGAACGTTTCGAGGGAAGATAATTTCGAGGGAAGATATGAAGCTGCACGGAACTAAAAATGATACGGATAATTTACACAGGCGTCTAAAATTAAAATTACGAACAGGAAACATATGATATCTAAAAAAAGTAATTGGTTTATTGTAATGACACTTTGTACACAGATGCACAGTATTATATGATAGCAAATATTGACCCAATTAAATGAACAGCAGGTAAACGTTTTGCTATTGAAACTATAAATGGCCAAACCAATACACCACACATTTTTCAGAATATCTCTGCTAATAAGAAATGTGGCCACTCCACACAGCTCTACATACCTGCCAATGAGTCCTCATACTATAAATAAGGTTCCTGATCATAGTCCAAATCTTCTAAAAGCGAGGATTTTAATGCTGTAGAGTATTAGAAATTTATTTACACCACGAAATGTCTCTTCCTAAAACTCCTACAGGATTTGTTTTATAGGATTTAGGTCCGGCGAATTCACTCGCCACACCATATAAAAAATACTTTCTTCCTCCATAAATAGTCTGTCAATTGAGATGTGTGTGATCTCGCTTTATTGAATATAAAATAAAGCCCCGTCCAACAGCTCCTAGGCAACGCCTCACATGTAGTTCAAGATCCTCATCTCTGTAAGGAAATGCGGTCATAATACCAGAATCTAAGACATGCAGTTTGGTGCGGTTGCTAGACTTGCATCATTTGGCTTACTAAATGATTTTGAACTAATATTTTAATAATACAGAGGGCCTAGTTCTTTTTTAAGAAAGTCTTAAAAATGCATCACAAAATCTTATGTTCGCAAACAAAAGGGCAGTACAGTAAATGAACTAAAGTGCTTTTGCCTTAATTAGTACATATGCTCACTTCGTTGTTTTCTTGGATAATGCGGGTCTTTATTCCTTTTTCTAGCGGCCAGGCTCACACCGTAGTGGAAATCGATTAAATACTTCAATACGGCTTAATGCATTAGCTATAATAAATGATGAAAAAGGCTGCCTATTTGCAAAATGGAGTTTTTTTGAATGCCTACTTCACGTAATAATAATGTATGAAAAATTATATTGTAAAGGTAGTAACAGTGAAATAATTGCCTGAGAATATATTGTTTTATTCAGATTAGCTTTATTCACGAAAAATAATAGATAGAGAAATGAATTTCAACTTACCATTCCTAAGAGACATACTTTATTCCATATGAAACTTCACCTTTTAAATAATGGATTGAATAGATAACATACATTTATACATCTAGAATAAATAAATCTAAGTTTCGATAATATATTCTCATATTATATGCACTTTAAGATGCGATAAACACTTTACGAATATACGTAATAAACTAGTTACTGATTTAATTTGTTAAAATTAGCTTATGCCTCGTAAGTTAAGCAGAGGTAGAGATTACATATTCAGAGTACCACCTATATAGTTGAGTCTTACATGTCTATTTCACCATACTTGAACTTCAGAATTCATCTTTAATCGCATGCAATTTCCATGTTATTAACAGATGCCTTCATCACAATTTTAGATGTCAGCGCTGAAAACATAGAGTAAACTCTGTCCATTATAGAATACGAAATAATTCTGTGATAGCCTACAGGAAGGAGTCTGTGTTTCCCAACAAATATTTCGCTGAGGAAGTTGCGACATCGCTTTCGTAATGAGAAACCTCGACTTTGGCTTCATTTCATTATACAATGTTGATGTATGTACCCTCGAATAAAGTAAATACTTACTCATTGTTTATATCCATTGTACGCCATAATTACCGTAACAGTTATGAAATACATTTGTTCCTCTAGTTTATAAATGAAACTGAATAGCCTCAAACGTCCTTTGTAATGTCTATTCTAATACGTTGTAAGGTTATTATCATTTTAATTAATAAATTATTATAATTTAAACCTTATTCTAACTACTCCTTTTTCTTTTCCTCACCAGATATGTAAATCTGTTACAGAGTATTTAATCTGATGTTTTTGGATTGTAAGACAAAGCCCGTTTCTGCCTCTCGAGGTCCTCTTACTAGGTTTAGGCAGTTCTGTAACGATTGTAACTCTTCGGCTTTGCGTTATTTCTGCCGACATTTAATTGTTACGCAGATGAGAAATCTGCGCTAAGTTAGATTTAAAACCATGTGTGTAGTCTTTAACAATTAGGCTTAGTTTAAATTTTGAATTTGACTGTTGTTTTAAGTTACATCGCCAAAAATGGTGGCCGATCCTGTTAGCATGAGAAGTGCGATAACGTTAAAATTCTGGTTTAATTGAAAGGCTATTTTAATATCCTCAAGTCTGTCTAACTTCAGGATAATTCGCTCCAAATCTGTTAGGAGTTTGATACTAGTTTATGCTACCAAAGCAATTCAAACTCTTTAACCGAAATACTTCCTTAAAAGTATAAAAAGTTTTCCTTTTATTAGCAAGGAATTCAATGCAGAATTTCAGGAATTTTAATGTACAATTAGAGTTTTGGGTGACATGCATAGATCGCAGGAATCACATTAAAAGACTTGCGAAATCATCGTGACTGCCTGGTTTTGCATGATTCACCTCTTACATGTTTAAGTCACTGAAGTTTCTCACGATTTCCCCAAAAGTATCTGATCTCTGAAGTGCGTTAGGCTTGTTTGAAACAAAGCGCTTCAATCTGTTTTAAGTAAGAAATAAAATAATCGAAATCCGGTTCAAAGAATCTTAACAGGAAGTCTGATAATTTATTTATTATGGCTCTGGATGCTGTCTGAACTGCAATGATTTTATAATGATATCCGGAAACTTTTCATAAAAAGTAATTTCAGTTAATGTCCAAAGTCTTGAAGCAAAATGTAGTCGCTTGTTTTATTTGAGAGAAAAATGAGGATAGATAGGTATTCGCATAGAAGAACGTTTATATAAAATGAATTACTGTGGAGCAATCAGTTTGCAGGCATACATATCTTCTTTATTAAATAGTAAATCTGTTGAGCAGAGTCATTAGGAATAACGATAATGCAAGCTTATATAATTGAATAAATATGCATACAGATGCAAAAGACGCTTCCTAAAGCTTAAAGTGTAAAACATTAATAACTATATATTTAAACATTAATAACTATGTATTCCTTTGAGATCAAAAAGAAGAAGAAGGATGATAGTTTACGAGAAATTCTTTTATTCCTCTCTAGACGGTCCTTTTACTCTTTATTGAAGGGTTTAAATTTTCAATTCGATTAAAAACTAGTTTAAAATCTTTATTGAGTTAAACAGCTTTACATTTGTTATGAGTATAACTTTGTGCATTGCTTTTATATTAGTAGCACTTCAGAGTAATAAATTATCTCATTAATTGAAAATGATGATATTTTATGCATTAAAAATAAATGTTCTAGCTTCAGAATACGCAAATGGAAATTCATCTAATTAAGCATTTTAAAAAAGCTTTAAAAATTTTTTAACTTAGAATTTGTATTCCATAAGCATGTTTTTCCGCGCTTCTCAGCTTTTCGTTTACGCCACAGAGCTAAAGAGGTTGACGGACGCGGCCAAACAATGAGAAACCTTTTTTGTTGTTTTTACTTATCACATTTTCCATGTCTCTTTTTAATGTTTTACTCCAAACTAAAAAAAGTCAACTATCACATGAGATGATTATATAATAATTACTATACGAAATCATAACTAAATTTTTCTCAAAACCAGGAGCGTTTAAAACCATTAAATGAGTTTTCTCGAAGCAGCGATTCTGCAGATTCGTGATTTTGGCGTCATGCCGATCTTGCCTGTGTTCAAGAACTTCACATCACGTAGACTGAAACATTGTTCCTTTGAATACATCCGCAATATGAGCTGTAGATGAGAGGTCTCGCGAGAGAAAAGAACATAGCTTCGCCTACGTACAATTTATGCCTCTTAAACAAACAAACAAAAAAAAAACCTTGAAATGTCGATATTAAAGTGACTTAAAGTTGATGCACACAAATGAATAGGTTATTCAATTCCTGGCGCCAAGCCAAATTATTTCTCACTCTGTTAAGTACACTTGACAAGTTCTTAAATTGCCTCATCATGTCACTTTAAACCTTTTACTTGAAGGGTACGCAATATTCTTTTAAATTCACAGTCCAGGAAGTTTAGCATTTGCGTGCATGTTTGGAAAAATCAATACTTGTATCTCAAACAATTTTATCATCATAGCCTATGAGCAACAACTTCAAGAAAGGCATAATATTGTTTTCATCTAATATTAGTTTTTTACGAAACCTGTGATATTAAATTCGGATAATATGCATTATTACTGTTTAATTTTAAACTAATTTCTGAATGAAAAGATTCCGGTATAGGAAGTCAGCTTTCAATAAAAAACATGAATGTTATGTTATTTGTTTAACATATAAACACTATATTTCTGAGACTCATCGAACGCCTACACGTTCCTCGCGTAGACGCTTATATTGCGCAGAGTAAACGAAATTAAAACAGATACTTCATCATTATTAGCTTCGAGTTGATCATTAATTATATTTCGTGCTAATGCTTTTATTTGGAAGTTTGCTAAAATAAATTATAAAATCATCAATTGAATCATCACGAACTATGGTTCCATTTTTTTTTCTGAGCGATCTACATCTGGATTTTAGAAGTTTTTTTTTTTTTTTTTTGTTTTGTTTGTTTGTTTCGGTTACTTGACTCATAATTTGTTTTATTCAAGCTTTTATAAATCAGAAATGATATCTACTCTTAAACGTTATCATCCAAAAGGACATTATCCTAACTTAATCTCATATATATATATATACTTCTGTTTCTTTCAATGAAGGTAATAGTTATACTCTTCTACTCTTCGCTAGTGATTCTGAGATGTATTTAGCCTAGCATATAAGTTAGTAAAGTCCTGTATATGTCAAGCAGAACAGATGCATCGATTATGAGCAATCAAAATTCTGCTTTCATACTGAGTCTTCGGTTAGGTACTACAGAAACGATACGCAAAATCCTGATCTGAATTTCTTCAGCATTTGATATGGCATTCTCTTGCGCAGCATGTATGCTATCGATTTCTCCTGAATCATAACTCAACTGCTTCCTTTTCCGATGAAGTGAAAAACATGCTCCGAAATTTGAAAGACTAGTCATTGCAATCGTCGAAACTTCAATACTCTCTCGAAAATAGAAAGTTTCTGGAGACCTTTTCAAACTGAAAGTCAAAAGAGTTTCCTTTGAGATTTATGCTGCCTTCTTTATGACGTTTTACCCCGGATTTTCAATACATATTTTCTAAAAGAAGATTTTGACTTGAAATTTAGTTTCGATTAATCTAAGTAAATGGCACTTTATCTAAAAACGTTGCATTATCCAACTGCTGATTTATGTACGATAAAAGCCTGAATATAAAAGAAACATTCTATGCTCTTCTAAAATGATTTTAACATTTTAGCATCATGTCGGCAGTGTTTGAATATATTGATTATATCTTATTATAGTTATTACATTTTAAGAATTCTTTCAAATTGGTTAAATTGCCATTTTATATCAACCAAGTATAAAAATCATAAAAACGAAGCATATCATCATGAAAACATAACTATAATATTTATTTTCTGTTTAGGATACTTATTCCCTCATTTAATTCTGTTTCGAGTTTTTACTTATCATTGATACTTGATTTGTCATTCTCGAAGCTTTTTTCAATAAAACTTATGTAGTTTGATCAAGGTTTTCTTTTTACGTGAAAAACAGCAATAACCTCACGTTTTATTATGCGGAAATGTTTACATTAATTGTAGCTAATGTAAAAACTTTATCGCGGTCAGAATTTCCTCGAAGATTTTTCACGAATTTTTGGGAAATTTTGTGATTGCACGAATGTAAATTTTCTAACGATTATCAAATAAATACAAGAATTTCAGATGAATTTTCTTATTATTTTTAAATTCTCATTTTAACTGCTGCATTATTTTTGCTATATCATTTTCATATTTTTAACAATTTATTATTATTATTATTTTAATTACGCCAAAGCCTCGAGGGCTATCTGCCTAAGGAGAGGGATGCCTTCGTGGAGGACGTTCTAAAGAAACTGGCTCGTATACACGTTACACATGGGGAAAACCACGAAAACACCCATGCAGTCAGCCCGTTCGCGGAATTCGAACCTCGGACCGAACTACTAGTGTTCAGCGACTGAACCGCTCGGCCGCTGGTGGGCCTTTAACAATTTAATAAGATAATAATATAATAATATTTTACCAGAACTAACTCGGGAAGCACATTGCATAATATTCTTAACCCAGAATCCAAACCACTACTTTGAAACCTGAGTCGAAAAGCGTTAGCTGAATTACTAAATAAGTATTCTTCAGTTGTTTCAGAAAAGGAAAAAAAAAAAAAAAATGAAACCTTGTTGTTGGAAAATTTAAAGCTTAGTTGTGGTCATTCTATGAACTTCTTTAAAGCATGTAAGATATTTGATTTTGATTAGTTTAAGATCTAAGTCTTATATAGTTGCCATCGCTTACATGTAAGTACCCACAAACATTTTTGCTATGATCTTTCAGTGTCTATAGTGTTTGCATAGC